TGGAAATTCAAGCTTCTATGGTGGATTCCCCATTGAGCGGAAGGAAGGCCACACCCCTGTGGGCAAGCTTGTAGGAGTATTCCCATTTGACAGATGAGGAGACTGAGGCCTAAGTGGCCAAGGCATCTCCAAGGAGACAGGTTGGGGTGTAGATCTGAATGGAGAACCAAGGCTGCAAAGGCCGGGATATTTCGCGCTGCACCATGTCACGGCCTTCCTTGCTTTGTAATCCACCTTCTCATGGGACATGTGCTATCTGTGTGCTGGGTCTTGCTGGCTCCATTTGCTTAGTGCACAGCAGGGCTCAGTAAATGGTGACGACAATGAACAGTCTAGAGATCTTATGAGAATACGCTCATCCAGCGACATACGTGCCCAATGAGTGTGTGTGAGCTCTGGTGCAGTTCTATCCTCTGTACCAGCCATGGGACAGTCCTCACAGACACAGGTAAAAACAGCCTCTCTCTGCTCTCACAGCCTCCCCTTTCACTCACCCGACACATGGCGAGGAGGCAAATTCACCTCTGACCCTGGCATCTGGGTGGCCATTAAAGGTTCAGTGTGTGAAGACAAAGGAAGCACTATGGTGGGCTCAGAGAAGAAGGGGGCTCGCTCCCGGACTCCCAGCCCTACTCTGCCCCTGATGCCCAGCAGCCCAGCACCTGGCCTGGGGTGCCGGGGGCCCTTTTTCCCCAGCCTCCTTCACAGGCCCTGGCTCAGCTACGGGCTGGTCCTTGCCTGAGGCTGGACAAATCCAGAGCTTTAGTTCATCACACACTTGCTCCCTGAGCACAGTTTATGTGAAGAACACAGGCCTAAACTCACTAGAATGGAGAAAATGTGAAGAATGTACTCCAGGTGGGAGCTGAAGGGCTTCCTGAGAAGAGAGAACTGAGTTGGGGAGAGTGTGCTTGCTGAAAGATTGCATGGGCTGTGGAAACTCCCGGCTAGTGCCCCTCCACAAAACAGTTAGTAAGCAACACTAGCAAAGATGATCATGGGTCCCCTGAATTCACTTCCAGACCCTCTTCAGGGACCCCGTGATTCCAGAATTTCTGATACCACCTGGGGAGTGACCAACCACCCTCCCCCAACAGCCTTATCTGCTGCCTCAACAGCACTCTGCTGGCCTGTTTCAACCAGAGAGTTCACCGAGGAGACGGGCAGGTTCTCTGAACACCAAAATAACCCAGCAGCCAGCAGGTTTGGAAACAAAGGGCTCTCTGTGCTCAAGGGCAGTGCGAGCTGTCACACCCGGGAGAGAGCAGAGCATCCATCCTCAGGAACAGGAAACAGGCACTGTTTAAGTCTGCCCCCCCACCCCCGTCTCCCCCTTACAGTGTCCAACCTACAGCCACTTGGGGGTGAAAATGGTTCTCCCGTCTTCAAGGACAACACAGGTAACAAAGCAAACTCTGAGAGAGGGTAGAAATGACTTGGAAAAAAGGAAGAAATGTTTCCTTATTTTTTGGAGGTTTTGATGAATCTCTATGAAGGGATCGCAAATAAAACCTGAACTATGTGTGTCCATTCACTACATAAATGTGGATGCACACTCTGAGGCAAAAGAAAAACATATTCAAGCTGTTTCTGGTTAAAATCCAATTATTTGGATTTCAGAGTTCTGGCTGGCTACTTGACCTCCTACTGGAAGCATGTTTCTTACCGTGAGAACTGTAGATACAACAGCAAACCCCAGCAAGCACGTCATATTTTCCCTTTCTGTGTCCAAGGCTATGCTGAGGTCATTGGCGTAGTCATAATACAGCCACCATAAGACACCGCAGACAACTGGAAAGCAAAACACTGTGGGGCTCAGCACCTGCCATCAGGTAACCAACCACCCCCGCCACCCTCCATCCCAACATGTGGGACCACACGCCGGGTCGCGGCTCAAGCAGTAGGTCCCAAATCCCTAGGCTTTACAGCAAGACAGATTCCCTGAAGGAGCTAGACAGGGCCAGGGCAGCCCCTGACCCCCACCCTCCACCCCAGATCTGGGGTAGATTCTTATCTTTGGGAGACACAGTGGGGGTGACCCCAGAATACAGGTGTGTCCTGTCAGCCCAGCCCACAGGTTGGGTCTGGGTGTGAGCAGGGAGGAAACTGCACCAACAGGATGGTGAAAGGAACAACATTAAAGTCCAAAGTCTAAAACTTCCAAACGAGCTCTGCTGGTGACAACTCCTACAAGAGCCTGGATATGGAGTTGGCACCTACAAAAATGGACAGATACCTTAAACTGCAACTGCTCTGCATTCAGGCACTGCCACCTACACCACATCCACAGTGACTGGGAAGGTCACAGTTGTCTTTAGTTGTAGATGGGAAAGCATCCCTCGCCAACTACAGTGCATGTACTCCAGCCCAGGCACGCTGTGTACCTGTGAGCTGTGAGGCTCGAAGTGGCTGAGGGCATAGCTGATTAATGGGGAAATAAAACACTGTGGCTGTACCAATGACTAAAAACTCAAATACCCCAGGCCAGTTAGTAAATAGCTGCTGCCTTAAGCCTCCTCCATGCCCCTGCCTCTTGGACCCCCACATTTCTTGGATGGGCCCCAAATCCAGCAATGAATAGGGAAACAGTGGGCACAAGAGAGGTTCTCCAGGGCCCTGCCCAGCTCAGTGCCTACATCTTTTCAGATGGATCGTGGCCTTTGCATGACAATGTGGGCACCCACGTGCCAATGGGAGATGTGCAAAATCAGAAGAAATCTTTTAAGAGGCTTCCAACAGGCATTGGAATTGTCTTTTAATTGTATGGATAGCAGGTCCCTCAAATGGCAGGCTCATCTCAGAGGGCGGAGTGTAGAAGACACAACAGACTGAGCGTTAACTCTGCCATCATCTGTGAGACGTCCACTATTCCCCTTGCCCTCCCTGGGCCTGTCTTCTCATATGTAACCTGGTGGGGTTGGATGAAAAGACTCTCTAAGATCCCTTTTAGCTCAAAAATGGCAACTTTTAAGTCCTGTACTTAACAGAAAGGCTTTTCTATTAATCAAAAAGAAATAAATCAAGTGGAAATACTTACACAACAATCCCAAAATAACCAATGCGATGAAAGTGTGAACCAGAAGGGTGGTGATGAATCGAAAAGTAAACACCATGGCCAAAGACAAGCCTGAAAAGTTAAGCAAAACATAGAAACTACAACAACCAACGTGTGAGGGCGATAATGACTAAACTCTTCCGAAGAGTGAGGGTGGCAGCATAGGTGAGTTCAGGCGCTACTGTAAGCCACCTTCTGAAAGTGCAAGCATTCTTCTTGAATATATTTTTTTTTAATTTTAAGCAGGTATTATTCCCAAATACCCAAAACATTTTTTTTTCTTTCAAGTCCAAATGAACCATTTAAAATTTTTTGTCATACTTAACTCTTGACTTCTTACTAGGCTTATGTAAAGCTCTCACTTTAAGTGTTATCAGATATTCTAATTAAATAGGAAAGATTAATGCCTTTACAAATGAAAAATCTAAGATTCTAACTATATGGTAAACTATGTAAAAAATCTGCATATTATTTTCCAACTTTTGGGTTCTTAAGCTGATAAATGTATTCTAAGTATTATAGTGAATTTATAAATACTAGTTTACTTTGTTTTCCTGAGTAAGAAATCAGGATTACATACAGCTGTTTCAGTGCAGTGGTTCAGAACATGGGTTTGGAATCAGATCTGAGTTGAGTCTCACCTCTCCCACTTTCTCTACTAGATGTGTGACCTTGGCCAAGTCACTTAGCCTCTTTAAGCCTCAGGCTTCCTCTTCTGCAAATGGTGATAGGATTCTGCTAAGGTTTGAATGACTTAAGAGTAAGTACAATGCCCAGCCCATTTGGGTCATAAGAACTCTGGTGACTAGTTAAGCATCCCAAGCATTCAGGAATTAGTAACCTTGTGGTACTGAAATTATGAAAAACTCAACTTGTAAACTGGCAAAATCATGTTCCAATCTGAACAAAGAGTTTCTTTCAACCCAGAGGCTGGGAGGCAGCCAGTGTGGAAGGGGATAGATAATGGGCCAGCACTATTGCCCACAGCAGCAGAGCGTATTACCTTGTTCAAAGAGAAAGTCAACTCTTAAAGGGGCTTATCACAGGCTGAAACATAGAAAATGGGAAGTCAAAGGGTTAAGAAGTAGGAAGCTGTTTCCACAAGGGCCCGGAAGGGGCATGTCCTGGCTCAGGCCTTGACCTGCCCACAACCCAAAGCAGGGATGTTCCTTGGAAGAGGTGGACACATCATGCCATTGCTGTCTGATGATGCTATTTGACCTGGATGCACAACTCATTCCACTGCTCACTAAGCAGCCTTCTGATCTGGCTTGCCTACAGGAAGGCCGGAAGACATGTGTTTCTGGTCCCTCTGACAGCTGTTCTCTTCATGGCCAGTTCATACACTGGCAATCTGCTTTGCACATCCGTCTTGATGCAGAGCTTAGGCCCAGGCACTAGAACATGGTTGCTATATTTTAAGGCACCCCCACCTCGTGAGCCTCTTGGCAGAGAACCAGCTGGTCTTCCCCCCAATTATACGGTCCCCTCTCCCACTTGAACCTAAACATTGAAAATATATCTATAAAGAAAATATACAAAGTGAAGTTTTCTATTTAAGTCAAGAGGCTAATTTTCATTGTACAATATACATTAAGTGCAAGAAACTGGCAATCCATAAATCGTCATGAAATAAAATTAACTGAAAATTACCTAATGAGAGGATACACAGGCCAAGGATTGTGTCTCTTCCTGACATGATTCCACTTAGAATTCGATGGAGGGTGTCAACATCATTTACCAAAACAGATGCAAACAGAGAATAGCACTCCGGTGTTTGAGGAATGCATCGATTAAACAAGGGAAAAGATTTGCTAAAAATAAAAGATGGAATGGTAGAGGTTTAATTCGTTATCTTTAAAAAAAAGATGTTTATTTAAAATTCTCAACAACCAAGAAAGCCTAAGATGTGCAGTAATAAAAAAAAAGGTTTATCACCCTGTGTGCAAAGTACCTCTTAGAAAGCCAGGCAACTGTGCTGCTACAGTGACTAGCTGATGCTCTGGAAGGAAAATGACTTACGGGCACTCCTAGAAACCAGACACCTGAACTTGGAGAGCAACCTGCTGACTCTCATGCCTTGGCCCTTCTTAGACACGAACTAGGAACTCCAACACCAGAATCCTATTTCTTATGTTTAGGTCTAAGATTTATCTCAAATTAATTTTTGTTTATGAGGTAACAGTTGTCATACAAAGTCCTCTTTCCCCATATCATTTGTTGAAAACACTTCTTTCCCCATGAAATTGCTTTGGTACTTTCATTAAAAATCATTGACCATGTATATGTAATTCCATTTCTGGGCTCTCTATTTTGATCATTTATCTATTTGTCTCTCCTCATTCCAACACCACACCGGCTTAATCACTGTAGCTTTATAGTAAGTCTTGAAATCAGATGCTGTGAACCCTCTAACTTTGTTCTTCTTCAAGATTTTTTGTGACCCTAGATCTTAGCTTTTCTGTATTTTTGAGAATAAACTTGTCAATTTCTACAAAAATTATATTGGGAGGATTGTGTTGCACACAACTTGGGAAGAATAATTTGGGAAGAAGTGACATTCTAACAATATTAACAACTTCCAATTTGTGAATAAGGAATATTTCTCTACTGATTGAGGTGTGAGTGTCTCTCAGCAATGGCTTTAACTTTTCAGCTGAGGTTGCCCGTGCTTTCTGTTAAATTTATTCCCAAGTATCCTATATTTTGATGCTGCTGAAGATAGACTTAAAAAATTTATTTCCTAATTGTTTGCTGCTAGTATATAGAAATTCATTTTGACCTCATATCTTGCAATTTTGCAAAGTGCACTTAGTTATTTTAAAAACTCCTTTGCATCTTCTTTTTTTATTTCAAAAACAATTTTATTACAGCCAAAACAGTGGAATTAACTGTACATAATAAACTATATACACACACTTTAAGTTATAGGGAATAAGGCTTATTTTGGCAGATATTGTTAAACAAAATTAAAGTTGTATACATTAGTAACATAACTCAACATCCTTAATTTGGTATAAGTGTGACACATTTTCTTGCTTTCCTATGTGCTGCTAAATCACCATAACCTGCTTTATAAAACTGATATGTTGAAATTTAGCTTTACTGTTTTCCACAAAGAGATTAAGTAACCTTTGGACTATCTACGTAAATAATTAGGCCACCTGTAAATAAAGATGGTTTCATTTTTTCCTTGCTTTTTCTTTTCCTTACTTTATTGGCATTCCTAGGACCTCCCTTACAATGTTGAGTGAAAGTGGTAACAGCAGATATCCTTGCCTTATTTCTAATCTTAGGTGGATCAATAACTCACCTTTAAGTACAGATTAATTGTAGATTTCTCATAGAATTGTAGATTTCTTTATCCGACTGAGAAAGCTCTGCGTTATTCCCAGCTTGCTAGTCTCTTATTTAAAAAAAGAGCTAAATAGTGTTAAATGATATACCAAAGTTTACTTAAGCAGCCCTCCACTGATAGCCATTGTTTTCAGTCTTTTGCTATTACAAACACTGCAGTGAATAAACTTGCACAAATGTCCTTTCATATTGGTATAAGGATACCTGTAGATTAAATTTCTAGAAGTAGAAATGCTTGATTAAAAGGTGTAGGGGCCGGATGAGTGGCTCAGTTGGTTAAGAGCTCGCTCAAGAGTTTGAGCTCTGAGCAACAGCGGTTCGAGTCCTGGCCCGAGCTGAGCAGCCGCTGAGCTGCCAACAGGTGGCAGGATGGCTCAGCTACAAAAAAAAAAAAAAAAAAAAGGTGTGCACATTCATCACTGATGAATATTGGTGAATTGCCCTCACTGCCTATTTCCCCACACCCTTGCCAATACAATGCATTAGCAAACCTTCCAGTGATGTTGCCAGTCTTCGAGGTAAAAGAGTCTTAAATGGAGCCTCCCCTACTTGAGGGAAGTCCAGCCTCTTTTTGTATGGTTTAACAACATTATGTTTTTTTTTCTTCGAAGCATCAATGTATATCCTTATCTAATTTTTATATTGAGAAATTGGTATATTAAAAGCTGATTAGTAAGACCTCATAAATTAGAGAAATTAATCTTTTTCATGTAAATTGCAACTTCTTTGCCTGTTAATTTTGTCTCTAGTGTTTCTGTCATGCAGAAGTATTTGTTTTTAATGCAGCCAAATTTTTCAATGTTTTATTTTATGTTTTCTGAGTTTTACATCAGAGTTAGAAGCCTGCCTTACTTTCAGGTTATAAAATAATTCTCCCATGGCTTCCAGTACTATGTTGTTTAAAAAACTGGAAGGGCTAGTATAGTTTTTAAAAAACTGGAAGGGCTAGTCCTCTACATTGTTTTTCTTTTTTCAGATTTTTCTTGGCCATTCTTGTTTTTCATTTTAAGTTTTCATTACAAGCTTTCAAATCAGCTTATCTAGTTTCTGGGGAAAATCCTGTTGTTATTTTTACTGCAATCATGATAAATTTATATCCCCACTTTAGGAGAAATGACATCTTTATATGCTGAATTGTACTATCAAGAACCCAGTTTGTCTTTCCATTTGTTCAACTTTTCTTTAGAAGTCTACTGAAGTTTTCTTTCTGTGGTTCTTATTCATTTGTTATTAAATTTCTTTCTAGGGACTTTTGTTTTTGTATGTATTTTTTTCTTGTGGTAAAAGGAGTCTTTTAAAAAATATACGAATGCTACAGATTTCAGTATATTTATCTTGTTCCCTGCAACCTAAGTTCTCTTATCATTTGTAGTTTTCCAGTTAATTTTCTTACCATCTGCAGAGTAATTTTACCTCTTGCCTTCCAATTTTTAAAACTTTAATTTCGTTTTATTTTCTATTACTAAACAGTCTTACCATCAACAAATCTGAATTGTTTTGAAAGCAAGTGTTTTCTGAAATTTCATTTAGTATTTCTGAAAAATAAAGTCTGATATAATGTCTGATATAGATTTAATATCATTTTATTTGTTTTTCCCCAAATACAATTCTCCATAAGACCTTAATTTTGTCAACACGGTTTGTTAACTATTTAAGCATTTAATAACCCAGTGCTGGTAAAGAATGACCCATTAGTCCTGAGAGTAAGGAGAGGCATATAAAGTATAGGTCATCCCTGGTGGGTGGCTAACCAGTTGACCACAAAGTACTTCATTAGCTAGGACGGGGATGTGTCTTTTGGCCACAGGCTGTGGTTTCTTCCCCTCTTATGCGTTTCCTTTCCCTACCAGCAAAGCCACTCATATTTGCAGGAAGTACTTTGGAAAGCTGACTATATATTTAGATGACCCTGTTGGAATTCATCCGAGCAAACAATGCAGTGACACGCATGGGCACCTGTGTGTGGGGGGCTAGAATGTGATTTACTGAAGGGAAAAACCTAAGCCTTTCAGATTTTAAATACACAGGGGACTCAAAATACAATATTACGGTTCATTGAGCACCAGAGGAAAAAAGATCTGCTTGCATGTTATCTTCTGCAGTATTTTTTCACTGCTCTTAAAAGCTCCTACCTACCTAGTAACAAACCTTCTTGATACTCAGCCATTGCTCTAAAAGGGCATGTTACACCTCATGTGATCAACAGAGGAAGAAGAAACAATTAGTTTAGTCAAAAAGAGGTATTTAGAAAATGCACTTTGGCCCTATAGCCACACTTCTCATGTTTTCAAGCTATTCGCTCTTGGCCCGGCTCTTCCATGATAAATATGATCATTTCTATCTAAAAACAAACACTTGCTTGTGTAGGAAAAGGAAATGGAGCCCTCAAGGTTATTTCTATCTGCCTAAATCCATCCAAGTAAGGCTGGTCAATAAGCAGTTTTGTTTTCACTTGAAAAGTTAGAAAGGTCTGCATTTAAGCAGTGAAAAGATGAGGACTGGCTTGAGAGGTAGAGAGATGGTGACCCTAGAACACATGGGATGGGACCCCGTACACACACTTTGGTGTGAGCCCAAGGAGGCCATTTGCCAGGCAAAATAAAACCAATGTAGCCTTGACTGTTTGTTTGGCGTTATAGAAATCAACGTGGATGCTGTTTGAGTTTGAATGCCAGCAAAACCACAACCTTAACCCGTCTCTGCAACACTTTTCTTAGCTATAAAATAAGGATGAAAACAATACCTACAGCACAGAGGCTTTGCGAGGTCCAAATAAATTAATATACATCAAGAGCTTAGAAAAGTACCTGACAAATATCACAAGCTCAGTAAGTGCTTGCTGTTATCATCATCAATATCAAGCTTCCATGGAGTTGCAGTTGCCGTCCCATGTATAGGAAAAGGAGAATTGATCCAACTCAGGTTAAGTTACAACCTGAAAAATTCCATTCTCTTTCAATTCCTTCTGCAGGCACAGTTACAAACAGCGTTCTTTAAAAAATCCTTTTCAAACACAAATACTACATGATTTCACTTACATGTGCAATCTAACACAGTCAATCTCATAGACGTAGAGAACAGAACGGTGGTGGTACCAGTTTAAATGATGATGTGCAGTCACCATCATAGGTCAGTTTCCCTAAAAGCAGAGCCTGAGATGGGGATTCTTGTTTAAGTGATTCTGGAGTACAGTGTTCTTAGGAGGAAGGGAATGAAAAAGAAAAGGGTAAAGAAATAAAAGGAATAGTGAGGAGGGGGTCTCAGCCACAGACTCACTTTAGCCTGACCCCAGGGGGAGCTCTGGGGCACTTGTACCCCTATATCTGTCAGTCATTGGCCACATTCTAGGGGTGGGGGTGACAGGGAGGGGTAAGTCTCCCTGACTAGTTGGCTTCTGTTTGACCAAGGGCAGTTCTTCAGAGAAGGTGGCAACTGTGAGTGGCTTTCAGCCAATGTATACAACAGCTGGGAGTCGGGCCACTAAGTCTGGTACAGCAGATCTGGGCAGGGCACTGACTGCATCCCTTATAATCCTCCTAACCCTCATTCACATGTACAGATCTATAAAACATAGAGCATTAAGAAAAATGTGCAATATGTTTTATGTACATTAAAATACATATCACATAAAATACACATAGGAGCACTGCAAAACTAATATGGATATTTATGTATTAAAGACTATGTATCAAGAAAAAAATAAGTCAAGTTGTGACTTAGAACCAGAATATGCTTAGACTGCTCAAAGGTGCTTGGCTTCTATTTTCCCCATGATTTACATGCCATGTATCAAATGAGTGTCTCTCACCCTGATTAGTGAGAGAAGGGCCAGATAAAATGACTGTGGTGTGAGGCCTGGCCCTGCACTAAACAGCCGAGACCTGGGGGGCCTGCGTCTCCTGAACTTCAAGAGTACGAGCTAGTTATTGGCAGAGCTGGGACCCCAGGCCACCTGCAGAATGAGGATGATGCTAACACTGCACACTGGGCTGTGGGAAGTACCATATGAGAGCATTTTGTAAGGTATACACAAAATGTTAAGGGATTTATTAATGTCTTTAATGTACTATATGTCCCATGAGCCTTCATCTCATTTGGGTTTGCTGTGCATTAGATTCCTAGTATATTTCCACAAATGCCTCTTTCTCCCCTGCAATTAAAACCATTTAGTTTGTCTTGGTAGCATAGGAGTGAGTTAGCTCTGGCGGTAGTGGGAAATTCAGGAATATTGATTTTTTTCCCCGGATAGCAAGGAAATTTGACCTGCTTTATAGGAACTGTTTCAATAAATGTCGTTAGAAAAAATAAAATAGTCTCATAGAAGCAAAAATTAGAATGGTGGTGGCCAGGGGCTGGGGGGAGGGGGTCATGGGGAGTTGAGGGTCAAAGGGTATAAAGTTAAAAAAAAATCCTTCTCTCTTGAAACAATTTCCCTTCAAACTATTAAACTATTGTAGTTTATTTTCCTGGGTTCAGTTTGTTTCATCAAGACAGTTTTATGATATCTGACATGACCCAGAATTTTAAAAATATTATAGAAAAATGCAATGGGTATTCACCTCTGCAAATAATTCTCTCTGCTTTCAACTGCTTATAGCACAAAGTATTTATTTTAGAAAAGAATGTCACAAGGATGATTAACTATATTCTTCCTCCTACTCATTTACAACTTACTCACGTTACTTTTTTTAGCACCTGCTAGATCAGCATTTCCAAGCTTCACTTGCAACCCATTAGAAGACTATGAAATAGATTATTTTTTTTTAAAGTAAAGTAAATTAGGAACTATTAGAGTGAGTCATATGTAATAAGGGGAAAACTTGCTTTTTGAGACTTCTATTTCTGCTCCATATACATAAGTATGTATGCAGGGATGTACATACTGGGGTTCTGATGTAATAAATTTCTTACTGTGAGTCCCAACCAAGAGTTTGATAGACACTGTACTAGACAGTTGACACAATACCTTGTTCTACTTAAATGATTATTTCTCAGGGATTTTGTACAGAAGTCTCATTCATTTAAACATATTTACAGTTTTCAAAAGAAGGGTAATACAAAATAAACCCAAGTCTTCCTTCAGTACATCTCAGCATGGTGACAGTGGCAATGATTATTAATTGCATTTTCCCCATTAGCCTTCTTTCTCAACGGCCCAAACGTGAGCCATTTACCATGGCAGTGCAACCACTGCTTCATCATTACAGCTTTATCTATGAATATTTATAAAGTGCCACCTGTATGCCAGGTCCTGCTCTAGTTGATGGGGATGAATAAGACCCTGAAAAGAGTCACTGAGCGGTCTTCTTGAGAAGGACCTGTTTTCTATTTTCATTGAGAAGAAAGTTGTGGTGGCCCCTTGGCCTTGCACATCTAGGTCTGTTTCTCATGGAGAAACCTAGAGCTTTACAAACTAACATTGTCTGATTGCAATAAAAAAAAAGCAAAAGTCAACAATTTCTACTTTGTAACAAATAGTTGGAGTAGAAAAAATGCACACAAACTACTTTATAAAACCCACTCAGCAACAATTCATATGTTACTTTTGCTAGCTCTAGTGTTGTCTAGGACTACCTTTATCTTTACTGTTTGTTCGGTTTTCTCCTTATTTAGCCTGGTTCCTAATCCATTGTCTGTTGTATGTTGCATATAATCCTTCCTTGTTTAATCTCTGGTTCCCTGTAGACTGTAAGCACCCTGCAAGCAGGGGCTCTACCTGTTATCTGCCTTGAGCTTCCCACAATACCTAGAAAAGTAACAGATATGCACCAAGTACCCAGTCGCTTCTGTTGATGGATAAGGAAAAAATATGGAAGCTTTTACCTTGGAGGAACTGGTAGCCTGGGGCACAATGAGTCTGCATGTGGATTCTGGGTGTAGTTGGAGGAATTCAAATTATAAACACACAGGAAGGACCCTGAAAGCAGAAGGTGCACAAACGGTATCATTTTCCTATACTGTGCCCATGTTTCCAGAGGATCCAGTAAGGAAACCACAGTCATTTTACAAAACTGGTAAGTGGACAGAATAAACCACTCAGATCTAGAAAATAGGTCTATGGGTGACCTAGAGACAAAAAGGATAAGCATAACCACCTGAGGTCAAGTAGGTCCTCTCTTTTTTACTCTCTCTCTAAAACCATAAATTCACAACTAAAATTATACTACCATTATATGATTGGTACTAAAATGAGTTGAAGGTTATTTATTGTACATGCTTGATATTTTCAACCCAGCCTTGCAAACAAGTTTTAAAAACCTGGTATGCTATTTCCTAGGCAGATAAAATTGGCAGTGGGTTGCCTCCAATTTCTTTTATTTTCCTTTGGTTGTTTAATCCTTTTACGTAAATCTGAAAAGTGGGCTCAGACAGAGCAAAGTACTTCAGTTACACAAATGTTTGGTACAACTTACAACTATCCCACCGGTAGTCATGAGCCCCAACATTTTAATGAAAGAATATACTTGTTGGTAATTCAACAGGCAGCCTGGGGGTGCCCCTCTAGGACTGGATGTGCCCATGTGCACAGAGCTCTCTGACCCGTCTGACCCTGCCCTTAGGCCCTAAATGTCTGCCATCTACTCTATGTTCCCCAGCAGTGAGCAGAGAACAGCTAGAGTTTCTGGTAAATCCAAATAATCTTGAATGAAACTGAACAAGCTCAAGAGATATTGTTTATGGCCTTTTCCACACAAGAAGAGGCCCCCAAAGAAGGACAATTTCCACCTTTCCGGAGAAAACAGTGTCAGGGTAAATTGTCTTCCGTAGGTCTGCACAGGTTACCCCACCATGGTTCCCAGCATCAGGGAGAAGAACCTGTCCCTCAGTACCTACCATTGTTCTTTGCAAAGAGCTGGATCTCTTCCAGGGTATCAAGCTGCTCTTCAGGACAGCTGGATATGCAGAGAGTGGTGGAAACAAGCTTCCCATCCTTGACTTCCAGATTGCAGGAATTCATAAAGAACACATGTCTAGGAGACAGGAAGCAGAAGACACGTCTTAGAACATGTCTTCTCATTGGGGTTAATTGCGGGACTTAAAAAATATCCACATGATGGGCCGGCCGAGTGGCGCAATGGTTAAGAGCTGGCTTGGGACTCCAGAGGGCCCCGGTTCGGATCCCACATATGAGGGCCAGTGACACTGCCCTCCACAGCTAAGATGCTGAACAACAGCTCAACCTGGAGCTGGGCTGCCTTGATTCGCCGGCAACGGTGTAGGCTGCAGCCCCTGTGGCAGTGGGTTGCCATGGGCTACCGTGTGCGGCCAGCAGCCAGCGTGAGCGGCCAGCAGCCACAGTGAACGGCCGTCCAGAAGCCGGCGACTGATATGCCTCCCTGGGAAGAGCGCAATGATGGTGCCAACTTGGACCAGTGAAGCAACGTCCTCCACAACTAGACTGAAGAACAAAAGGAGAGCAATTTGTCTGTTCCCCTTCCCCCAATTCCCCAGCGCTGTTCCCATCCCCACAATTCCCCAATAAAAATCTTAAAAAAAAAAAATCCACATGCTATCAAATGTGGGAATAACTATGCAAACTTTTATAATCAAATGCCTCAGCATTATTTAACATGTATTATACCTACTGGGGGTCATCTAGAGAGTCTCACAGCTTGGGAACCACACTCAAATGTTACCAAAACTTCCCGTTTCCAGATTCAGCCTTTTCTGGGGGATAACACTAGGGAGTTATCTGAGGAAGTCACTGAGGATGGGAAAGGACTGACTGAACTGCCACGGATTGCTAGATCAGGGCAGTGCACAGACTGTTCAATGAAATCCAAGAAAGCATATTTGCACCAAGAAAGTGGTGCAAATTTCATTTGCATCAATGGAATCCAAGAAAGCATATTTGAGAGTGTTCGACTATACTTCAGAGACTAGCTGAACCCAGGGAAGTGAGAAGGGAGAAGGAGGCGGCCAAGGCTGTCTCTCCCTCTGCCTCGCAGTTTGAGAGCCAGAAAACTCATGAGAACCCTCCTGCTACTCAGACACTGGGCAGGTGGGGCACAGAAAAAAAACCCCGGTGTCATTAATGAGTCATGTGTGGGGCTAGCAGAGGCAGCTCCCTGACCCATGCCCAACACCTGTCCAGGTTGCTGGGATCAGAGGAATGGCAGAGGAAGAGCCCTTGTAAGGTGACCCTCTAGGGGAGGGGTCAGGAAGAGGGTCCCGGAAACTTCTCCCCCGCCGTCAACTGAGGGTGGGAGAAAGGGAGGTGGTAAAACAGGAGAGGGGGGCACAGATTTTCTGGGTGTATGATAAACATATATTTTATTAAAAGTTCTTTTTAGTTGTGGTAAAATACACATAATTTACCATCTTAATCATCTTAAGTGGCACTAAATGATTGTTGTGCAAACATCACCACCATCCACTCACAGAACTCTTTTCATCCTGCAAAACTGAAACTCCTTACCCATTAAACAATAACTCGCCATTGCTCCCTCCACCCCAGCTCCTGGCAACCACCCTTTTACTTTGTCTCTATGAATGTGACTACTCTAGGGACCTCACGCAAGAGAGATCATAAAATATTTTTCTTTTTGTGACTGGCTTATTTCACTTAGCCTACTATCCTCTGGGTTCACCCATGTTGGAGCACGTGTCAGAATCTTCATTCTTTTTAAAGCTGAATAATACCTCATAATATGTATACACTACATTTTGCTTATCCATGCATATGTTGATAGACACTTGGGTTGTTCCTACTTTTTGGCTATTGAGGTTAATGAATCAGAGACTTTTCAAACTAGAATGATTATGTCTCAGCACTGCATTAGGAATATAATGTGACATAGGAGCATGGGTGCCTCTGGGCAGCCCCTTCCTCCTCCTGTCTCTGCAAATGACATCACAAGCGCAGGGGAAATGCCCCCAGGTAATGTACGCCCAGAAGTACAAAGCACCCCACCTCAGGAGCAACACTTGGGGGTAGAAGAGGCCTGGTCCGAGATTCATATTTGGTGATGCCAAGCTTACACTTGGGACCTATTCAGACCCTCAAGATTTCTTTCCTAGGAGCTGCTTCTGGTCACCAAGTTCCAAAAATTATTACAAGCAGTCAGTTTCCATCTTAGAAAATCATGGCCAGGAATTTCTCTCCCCTCAGGGGACTCTTATCTCTTCTCTTTCCTTCTAGTTTCTGTGTTGGTGTTGGAGGGGGGAAATGTGACCCCCCAGTGACATGGTTGAGAGTGCAGACTGGGGAGAGGGTAGGACAGTCCCCAGCATTCCCAGTCGGAATCCAGGTATTTCCACGTTGGAACAATACTGTGGAGGGTGCACAGTTGGTAACATACAATTGGTAACATGATTCTCATACATTATTATAATGGTAACAACTAACATTTAGTAAGCTCAAGCTGTGTCTCAGTGGATAGTTAAAGCAACCTTGTGAGGTTGGTCTAATAAACCATGCTTAAAAGGTTGAAAACTCAGCTCAGAAAGGGTAAGTACTCTGCCCATGGTCAAATAGCTGAAAAGTAGCAGAGGCTGAATTTGATTTTAGGACTGGCTGATTCTAAAACCTGTGTCCTTACTACCACACACATGTCCCCCTTATTATGAGATGAATTCACAGAGTTTTGAATGGGGAAACAGTTTCCAGGCTCAGAATGAGTTAATTTATACAAAGTTTGAAATATGATAGAGGTTGGAGACTTACTTGAACACTTACTTTTTTAGGGTCATGTCCTGCCCTGAAAGAGGAGCCCCTTCTACTGGGTAGTTCTTCTTGCCACACACGTTGCCAAAGCTGTCATAGCCAAAGAGGAGTCTTCCTGTGGCTCCAGCCACCACTGAGTAGCCTGTGATGAACATCTGGCAAAACCCAGGTAGCACATCAAAGCCTGGCCAAAGAGCTGCAAACCAGTCCCCTATCCCTGAATGCTGACATGAAATGGAACTGGGGAGAAAATGAACTCCCTAGCATCACTGCACTTCTGTCCTCCAGCAGTACTGTCAGGACGCTGCTACTCGTTTTAACAGGTTAAGTAGGAGAACATTCTAAAACGTTGACACAGATTCCTGTCCATCTTCTCACTCTCTTCTCTAAGAGTCTGTCATCGTTTTCCTCTTGGCCTAAGTTCATCAGGACAGCTCAATTTTCTTTCCTTTGAGGTTCTTGTTTTATCTAAGAACACAAGGGCTATGCTGCTTCTTTCCATGAGTTTTCATCCATCCATCCATCCATCCTCCCTTCTTTTTTCCCTTCCCGTCCCTCCTCCCTTCCTTCTTCTCTCTTTTCCTCCCTTCCTCCTCCTCCTTCCACCTCCCCTTCTCACTTCCTTTTTCTTTTAGTCTTAATGGAAGACTGACCCACAAGGGTTGAGACAACACAGTTGATACGTACCAAAATACCGTGTGCAGTAAGTGTGAAAATGGTGTTTTGAAATATGCTTAAAATATGCAAAATAAAGAACCTCAGGTATTCTACGGGACACGAATATCTTGCAAGTTATGTTATTTTTATCCAATTTCATAATAAGTGTGGAATATTTGAAATTTCAGCTCAAAATTTCAGTTTCATTAATATGCTTGACAGGCCTTCTATCAAGATTGACAATGTATTTTCCTCTAAAACAAATTTGGTGTTGTAAGTTTCCCAATATATGATGCATAGAATACCATTTAATACTCTTGGTCATTCCAGGAGGGGGGTATAGCACACCACTTAATGTAGTATTGATACCATATGCTCCAAAGGTACATTGTCCCAAAGTCAAATATGATTCAAATATTCTGCAATCATTATTAATTTAGAAATCAAAATAACAGTCTTCAAATGTGCAGTGTGTGTCAGAGACTCTGCTACTGGGAGCCAGAAAGATGAACAAAAGAGTGTCCCTGTCCTCAAGGAACCTGGCTTAGAAGACAAGCAGAACGTATAAGCTGCAGATGTCCTGGAAGGAAGCTCCCACTCCCCCAGCATCCCCTGAGTCTAATGGTAGATTCTAGAATGAGTGAGTCACCTTTGCTGGTGGACAGAGCCCTCACCCTTTACTTCCACGCTATGGTGTAACTGAGCCCCCACATGGCCTCAGCATATTCTTCTCCTGCCCTTCCAACTTGGACTGTGGTGATCCTGACTGGGTTGGGACTTTAGAGGGAGGAAAGGGGTCCTGTGCTTCTGCCCAGCTCATGAGACATTTAATAATGAAGTGAAATTTTCCACTTATCAGCATTCTTTATATTAATATCTCCCTTGGGAAACTCATAGGGAGCAGTGGAAGGTTTTATGGCGGGCAGGGGGAGAGGATTTGGGTAATCCTGAGTCCCTGACATACTTCTACTACTTTAACGAGCAAAACTTTGCTTTCATTTCAAACACACAATCACAATTCCATATGATAGGTGATTCAGTAGGTGTGTGTCCCAGGTACAGTGTGGCTGCTAAGGGGTTCACCATCAACGGTGATATCAGAAAATGGAGTCTTAAAAGAGGAGTAGGAAAGGGTGAGATGGGAGAGGACAATGGAGAGGTAAGTAGAAGCAGAGATGGTCCAGACTTTGAGACATTCTGCCCTACGTGTCTCATGAAAATATTAAAAAATCTGGTACTCTATCTACAACAGGACGTCCCTATTTGTAATTCTGGACCCTTGGCCCAAACCTCCTTTGTCCAGCTCTAACCTCAGGCAGCACCATCAATAATAATCCTGTCCAGCATGTCACCAAGATCAGGACATCACAGGACCAGAAAGACTGTACAATAGAAGCATAAAAACAAAAACAAAAACAAAAAAACCACTCCTTGGTCTGTTTTAAATATCTATGGCTTAAAAATGTTGCAGAAGATACTAAAAGCCGGTCAACTAAGGACTCTCATTATTCAACTTTAATGTAGTAAGGGAATATTGAAGGCTTCAGGTTTATTTTGCAAATGGCATGTAATTTTAGAGCAGTTTCTAATTCTGTGCCACCTCTCAGATGGTTCATAATTGTTCAGGCTATCATGCCCCCAGATAGCCGTTGGACTGAGAGTTCGGTAGTGATATACTAGGTTGGAAGTACTAGGGGCTAGTGAAGACCATTAAATAACATAACAGCCAAAGATCAAAGCTGCCAGGCACAGGCAGGACAGCTGCTCCATGCATTTATACAATTGCAGACCCAGATAGAAACACCAGCCTTCTGTAGGGAGCTAAGGAAGAGGTGGTGTAGGTGCACAATTTCTCTCAGCTCCAAGGGCCATGATATAGACTACAGAACATATGGTCACACTTTTCAGGCCCAACCTTTCACTGTGCCTGTAACCGTGTCTGTCCATAGGAAATCAGTTAGGAAAGTCAACAAGTGAATAAATGCTTTCCTAAAGAAAGAGAAACAAATATGATATTTTAGGGACTATTCCAATTTAAATCCTTTTTTTTTTTTTTTTTTTTAGTTTGACATGACATTTTTACTGGAGATATCTAGCTCCTGTTAGGGCACAGCTAGCCTGGAGCAACTCAATGGCTTGCTCCAAAGGCCAGTCTTTCCAAACCAAACATTATGCAGAGGCTAGCATTTGTCTGCAATGTGGCTTGATACAGAATATCAGAAACAGAGTCCATCCTACAGATTCCAGAACATGCCTTAATTATAAGCCTTGAAACTTTTTTACTGCTCAGATTCTATCTTTACCTAAATGTAACTGTGCTGAACACTGATATGGCACTCCGATCCCCCACTGTTGTTCTAGGGATTGCCTCAGCTGCAGAAAGCACTACATCACAGGTCATGCTCTTTCTTAGGGTGACCCATGTTCAATGACGACTCGATGCAGGAATATCAAGGCTTGGCCATCTAAGCACAGCTGGGGACAGCTCTAAAAAGCCACTGTAGCTCCAGAGTTCCCCACAATTTAAATCTTTTCAACAAAGGCAATTACTCTCTGGTAGCTATTATCGGATTTTATAAATTAATCACTTACCAGGCAGCAAATGCATGCCTCAATCTGAAATGGATGATTTCATGAACATGGTCTTGGAAAAAGCTGAGTGAGGCTTTCTCTGTTCTTACCTACAACTCTAAAATACGTATCAATGCCTCAAGATTCAGCTTCTGAGAGACTCTCCCAGGACTAAAATGGCACAGCCTGATGAGGTCTACCAGCAATTATACATACCTGGAAACTAGAAAAAAAAAACTTGGAAAAAAAATCATTACCTATCTAACTAGAGGGTTTATATCAAAGGCCTGTTTCCCTGTCTGCTGCGGCTGCTAAACACAACATACCAAGAGTGTGTATGTTCTGCTTAGCTAAAGTAAGAGTAATTTATTTCTAGGCTCACCCTAGATTTTCCTGTGTTAGAAGAACAGCAAACATATGGGGAACATTTTAATTTGGGGGGGGCTGAGGTGGTAAAAGAACTTCCATAGAGTGAGCTCAGCGAAGAGACCACACACTGGTCTATTAAACAATTCCCGCTGCAAGGGGCGATTTTTATTTCCTAATGGGGCCTTGCCTTTGGAGGCCTGCAGCAACAACACAGCCTCTCCAACTGAGCAAACCTAGGAGGGTGAGACCTCCCCAGGACTGATCTTTATTCTGTTATCACGGCAGGTGTCACTCACCGCAGCACCAACTTTCACGGGGTACCCCCCAGAAGCCCTGGCTTCCTCAAGAAAGGCCCTAGGCATGTGATTTATATTTGGGGCACAGTTATTGGGGGACACATAACTCTGATGTCTTCCCCGTCAGGCACCCACACTTACCAAACCCGTCCAAAAGAGAAAGAACAAGAACAACCACGTCGTATCTGTGCATTTCCTATAAATCTGCGGTCGCCACTGTCGTTGCCTGGGAGTTCTCTCTGCAGAAACCTTCCAGAAAAAGAGGGGAGAAAGTTGAAGAAAAGGGGATAAAGCCCCATATGGGTCCCGACCTGGAAACGGAACCCAAACTGACTCGAAGACTGTTCAAAGTAACTTTTTGTTTGGTTGTTTGCATTGTACCGTGGCCGCCTGGAGCTTTCGTGGAGCTTGGAAACGCCTTCTCGTGCGGAACGGATGTGAAGTCCCCAGTCGCCAAGTCCCTACCTGGAAGTGCACCTGGAGGCGGCCCCAAGGTCGTGCCCCACCGCCAGCCTCTCTCTTGCCTGTGCCCCAGCACCGCAGTGGGATCCGAGGTCCCCCTCCAGGGGTGCCCAGGGCTTGGAGCGCCGGGCTTTATCCGCGCGGATTAGGAAAGGCAGAGGTGTCCTGTTAGGGCAGGTGCGTCCAGGAGGGGCCTGAACCTACTTCTCCCGGTTACCTCCCCCTGAATCCTTTCCCCCGGGGCGGACACTCACCAGGCACTTGGCGCCGAGGCAACGCATCCTGCGCTCCCGGCCGGGACTGGGGGCCGGCACAGCGCCCGCAACTGTCCACCTCTAGTCCCAGTCCCAGCCCCAGCCCCAGCGGCAGGTAGGGGCGCAGCGCCCCCGGGCGGCCGCCTCCCAGCGCCGCGAACTCCGCCCTCTGCGCGTACCCGCACGCCGGAGTCAGCCGCCGTGCTTGCTGCGTTCCCGAGAGGCCCCGCCTCCCCGGTACCCCAGACACCCACCTCTTCGAGGGCAGCACTGGGGTCCCCTGGTGGGTCCCGGCTGCGGCCTCGTTAGCTGGTCCCCATCGGCCGTGAGCAGAAAGTAGGAAGTCTGGGCCAATCCATCCCTAGGAGTGAGGACAGGTGTGGTGTATGATCCACAGGGAACAGGTGAGTAGCGTTCACCTGTGCCAGATTTTGTTGTACTGCGTTACAAGCATTATTACATAATCCACATGGCATAAACTATTGTTATCCCTAATCTGCAGTTGAGGGAAACTGAGGCACAGGACTGCAGCTATGTCACTCGTGGAGGAGACACAGCCAGCAAACTGTAAGGCGGGGAGTTGAACCCAGACACTCCAGGAGACGCTCTCAAGGCGGGTCTCTGCAAGCACCCACTATGACTCTCATGCCGCTGCCATTTCTACCAGTACGGTGGACTCTAATGGCTCCTCCAGTCTGTCCTGGAGAAACCCAAGTCCCCGGAAAAACCGCAGGTGCTAGAAAGTACGAGAATAGAAACCCGGGGGGCCTGAAGACGGCCTTCATCTGGGAGTGCGGGAGTGTGGAGGGATGAGATGCTGAGGGAAGTGGGAGGAAAGAATTTGAGGTTCTGAGGTTCTGCTTCTCTCCCACGTCGCCCTGGACAATCATTGCCCGACTCTTCACCGTTGAAATGCTGGTGGAATTAAAACAGCTGCAGACCTAGCCTCCATCCCCCTCTCCCCAAGCACACATAGGGCCAGGGAGGGCTGTTTGGTGACTGTTTCCTTTCCATACTGCTTCTCCCCTGATGGTAGAAACCTGGCCAGAGGAATGTTTATCAAAGTAGCTGAAACTCCAGGGAACATGAATTCATAGGCCAATTAACGAGACATTTGAGGAATACAACTACTATAAAAAAAAACCCGATTGAACAACGTTTACCACCTGAAACTGAGTTATTAGAGCTGAGTTATTAAAACCAAGGTTTTAAAGAAGCATGATAAATATATTTAAGAAGAGAGGTGACAATAGCAATCTGAATCAGGAAAAAAATGTCATGAAACGAAAATGAACAGAAATATTAGGTATGAAAAATAGAATAATTGGAATGAATATTCATTGATGCTATTTATTAATAACATGGGTTAAATAGTAGAATAGATGAAGCTCAAGAGGAAGTCATAATTGGAAGAGCAGTTTCAACTCTCCAGACGCAACAGGAAAAGATTTTTAAAAATAAAATAAGGCAGTTTATTTTTATTTTTTTATTATTTATTTATTTTTTTTTTTAGCTGAGCCATCCTGCCACCTGTTGGCAGCTCAGTGGCTGCTCAGCTTGGTCCGGGACTCGAGCCGCTGTTGCTCAGAGCTCAAACTCTTGAGTGAGCTCTTAACCAACTGAGCCACTCAGCCGGCCCTAAGGCAGCTTATTTTTAAATTTTCTAATTAATATCGAGGCTAGACCTAGAATAGAAAGGGAGTAATATAAAAATGAAGAGGAGGAAATATTTGACATACGATGGAGATATATTTTAAAGTTGAAAGAAAATATAACTCTGATAGAAAGGGCAAGTTTCAAGCTATATATTATACCTTTATTATTTGTTTTAGGAATTTCCTAAAAAGCCATTTACTGGAGCAGTAGACCCACTACCCAACTAGCTTTCATCAGGATAACAGCGCCTCATCAGAACCATAGATCACTCTTCTAATCATATGACTGTACCCTTCAAGGCTCTCTTCAAATCCTCCCCTTACTGCATCCACCAATCCTCAACTACCATATGAAAAGCTTGCCTAATCTAATCAGCCTCGCTGGATCGAAAGACACATTTTTTACCAGACCCTATAAAAGCCTATAAATATCCCATCTTGAAACACATCAAATGTTAATATTCATACATTCACACTAATACTAAGTAAAAATAAAGCCTCATTGATTGCCTTTAGAAGATTCTAGTGGGCATTCAATTATTTCCAAAACTGGTAAGTAAAGGGAAAGAATCAAGTACATATCCTGCCTCTCCTATACAAACCATACTTCAGGATAATCCCATAACTGATGAAGGAGGTTTCTCTTAATAGAAGTATTCTGGCTTATAAGAGTGGAAGGAATGATAGACTTTAGGGTATCAGTTTTCCAAACATCACATAAAAGGACAATCAGACATCAGTGTCCTCACAGTGAAGAATATATTGTGAAGTAGTCATATCAGAAAAGTCCACCTGAATCTGACTACCAAATTATAAGAAACACAGAGAATAGAGGAACAAGTCAAATGACACCACAGGGATGCCACCAAAAAGACCAAGTCTTCAAACACATCATCATCAACAATAACAATAACAGCTAAAAGATTATAAGAAAAAAAGATAGGGAGAGTAAACCTATAGATTAAAAGAGACTTGGGAGATAGTTTAATTACAATGTATGGACATTGTTTAGATCCAGATTAAACCAACTATAAAAATAAAAAGAGGATGATTAGGAAATGTGCATCCTGATTGGATATTTAATGATTTTAAGTAATTTCTACTGAGGAATTTGGGGATTTGGGGATGTCGTCAGGGTTAAATTTAATAAGGAGAGTCCTTATCTTTTAGATTTATGTACTGAAACTTTTATAAAATGATAGGTTGTCTGGGATTTGCTTTTAAAAATCCAGGGCAAAGAGAAGTGGGTGAGGGTGTGGGGAAAATTGACCACCAGTTGATAATTGCTAAAGTTGGGGGAAGTGTACATGGGAGTTCATTAAATTGTTTTCTCTACTTTTGTATGCATGAACACAGGGACAGTAGAGCCACTAGGTTCCCTTCCTAAATGTGATCCTTGGAACTTTCAGTTTGGTTAAAAATAAGTTTTTATTACAAAATGTTATATATGTTAAATTACATCATGTTATATATTCCTTTGTATATATCAAATATTGCCTAATAAAGTTGTATGTAGCATATATATGTTACATGTACCATAGATCTAAGTCATAAGGCATACCCTGAACCCACCTCCCAATTTAGGAACTGGAGCATTACCATAACGTTCCTCCTGAACACCACCTCTGCCAAACCTTCAATCTCACAGGTAACCACAGGTTCTGAATTTTGTTTATCAACTCCTTGCTGAAACACACTTATTTCACAATATCTTATTCCTTAAAAAATATGATTTCATTGTTTTTTTTAGGGGATGTTATTAAAAATGGTGGTATATGGTATGAAGTTTGTCTGGAACTTTTTTCACTCATTATTGTTTATTCATGCTTGGTTTGAAAATTGAGGTTGGTCCTTCATAGACCACCAATTTAACTAAAGACTTTCTGACTGGAATATGGAAGCACAGAGCAATCAGATTGTAGAGTCCTCAAATTCTGTTGAAAATAGATGCTTGCACTGCTAGGAGCTGACTGCTGGATCTAATTTGTTAGCTTTCCTTTGTCCATTTCCATACAGTCTGATTGTAATGTTATGTGTAATCAGATCTCTTAATCTCCTAGGTTTCTACATTTGTGCAGGACAAAGCCCTCCTGTGAATGACCTCAAGACATTTCCTACTTTACTTCACCAAGGTTTTGTATATAATTGAGTTTTGAGAATTCCTTATGTAGTCTAGATATAAGTCCTTTATCAGTTATGTGATTGGCAAATATTTTCTCTTAGTCCACCTTAGCCCAAACCATCATCACCATCTCTCTGCTTCCACACTTGCCTTTCTGTAATCTCTCCCCACACAGCCAGAACAATCCATTTAAACACAAATCAGGTGAAAAATAAACAAACATAAACCAGGTCATTATCTCTCTGCTCGAAGTCCCCCAGCCCCCATGGCTCCAACCCTTCTCAGATTAAATTCCAAATCCTTGACATGAATTACAAAATCATGAGTCTGGCCACGCCCCAGAGTTTCTCTAAGGTTTTACAAGGTCATAACTGCCTCATCGTGCTGGGGGCCAAGTTTTAAAAGAGAGTTATCACATATTGTCCCAAAGAAATGTCTCTAAAGGCATATGTTTTAAAATGTGTATTTCATCATTGAAGCCCTTAGTAAAATAAAAAATATATTAACCATGTTCTCTACACCCAGGGCTCTTTCCAAACTACAGTCCCCCAGGAAATAGTGTTTGAAGTCCTCCTTTGCCCGCAATGATCAAGTCAGACATCCCTCCCCTCTTTTATGAAGCCTTCTCTCTCAGTCTACTGCCCTAGTAATCCACCCTCAGTCCCAACAGCCCACAGACAAAATGGTTCTTTTTTGTTTTCTTAGCTCTGTGTTCACACATAATGATTGAATGGAAATCTGTGAAACTTGTGTCTACCTTACATTACTATTGTGGGGAGCACAAGTCTATTAATTTGCATTTTAAAAATATGCATGTATACTGTATCTAATCAATTCAAAGGCTCACTTTTTTCATATTTTAAAGACTGAAATCGGGATGTCTTAAGTGATATTAGAAAGCATAGTTTATCAGCATTTTTTTCTTTCTTGGTGGCCCATAACATAATGGTACCTTGAATTTGATAGTTGCCGGAGAGTGCGCCCTTCTCGGTGCGATGTCCAGGTTCTTGGCGTCTCAAGCAAAGAATTGAACGAGATACTGAGACAAAGTAGTGAAACAGCAGTTTATTAGAAGAGAAAGTACACTCCAAAGAGTTTGGAGCAGGCCGAGCAAAGGAAGAAGCTCAAAAGGCGGCCAAGGGCTCAAGGGGCTCAAGGCTCAAGGTGGCATTATTAGGAGAAAAAGGAAACTCCAAAAGGTTTGGAGCGGGCCGCGAGAAAAGGCAAGGCTCAAAATGCTCAAAGGGTGCTGACTGGCCAGGACTTGGAGTTTTTATTCCTTTTTCTCTAGAATGGGCTGTTCCTCTCTGGGCGTGGGACCACTTGATTGACACCTGTGATTGACAAGAGGTTATTACCTCATCTTTTTTAGATTGCACAGGTGTGAGTGACTGGCCTAATCCAGTTGGGTATTTTGTACCCATTTGTTTCCCTGTAGGGGTAGATAATTACCATGAAAAGGGGAGGTTTGGGATGGAGAGGGGAGGTCTTTTGGGCAGTGCATTCTGTGGGACATGCAGGAATGCAGAGACCCAATGCCTGCCTCTAACTACCTGCCTTGTTTTCCCCTTGAGAGGTGTAATCCTAATAAAATCTCTATGGGAAGTTGAAGGGCAGGAGGTCTGCTTCCTGCTGGGCAGGGGCGTAGAGGTGTCCCTGCCTACTGGGGGATTCATGGAACTCTCACCCTAACTGATCTCAGATGAGAGGAAGGGGTCTCAAGATCCACCTGGAAGACCGTGTTGGCTTCTTTGGTTGCGACTGGCAATGTTGTTGGGGTATCATCCATATCCCCAAAGCCCCTGAACACGGAAAAATAGATTTTAATTAATCCATTAGCTTTTATGAAGTCTGTGGCCATTCAACCAGTCACTCAGGGTGGTGTCAATTGTCCAGGAGCTGGCCCCAGAATGGGTTTGGAAAGAATCTTTAGGCTTACTGGCCTGGGGAAATGTTAAAACCTATTTAGTCTCTGGGATGGACTTGTCCAAGGCAGCGGTTCTCAACCTGTGGGTCGCGATCCCTTTGGGGGTCGAACGACCCTTTCACAGGGGTCGCCTAAGACCATCAGAAAACAAAAAGATACTTACATTACAATTCATAACAGTAGCAAAATTACAGTTATAGAGTAGCAACGAAAATAATTTTATGGTTGGGGGTCACCACAACATGAGGAACTGTATTAAGGGAACGGCATTAGGAAGGTTGAGAACCGCTGGTCCAAGGGTTAGGTCTGGAAAGGCTTGGAGGTTGTTGGGAAGTCACAGGCTTTTAAGTAGTTATCTGAAGCAGGGCTAGGAGATTTCTATGAACAATCTATTGTTTAGGATTCAGAAACTGATTAGGAGAGTAATCAAAGCCAGGGGCTAAGGAACTAAGAAAATAGGGAGGAGACTTAACATTTCTATAGGAAAGAAAACAAGTTTTTCAGTGGGGGTGTGGGGGGACTACTCACTTGGCCCATAACAAAACTATCTTACAGCTGATTAAATATGGAATATAAATCCTGTGTTTATGTACCTTAATCTCACTAGCAAAAGTTTAATACAGCATTCCGTAGTTCATTATTTTTGCTATATTACACTTAAATATAAATTGAATTGGGAATGGGCATCACGTCCTCACTTCCAAACTGCAGACTTTATCAATGTAAGAAAATGCTCCAGAAACTGCAAAGGATTACTCATTCGAGGGGTATTTTTTTTACATTTAACCTGCTAAAGATGAATTGTAACTTTAAGCAAACAAAGCTGGGAGGGTCTATGGGCGGAGCTAGGGCTTATGAAATTCTCTGCTCTAAGTAATTGCGAGAACCCTGCAGGAAGAACTGTATCTTTATAATAAAACTCTATGGTTCTAACTCTCTCTTCCTCTCAGTAGACACCCTTCTGTCTTTGCACGCAGACCAGAGTATGCACGTGGCTTGCCATACAGTCAACAAACAATGACTAATTAATAGAAATAATCGACACTTCACGCGCTGGCCAGACCACGCCAAGGGGCCTAGCTTCGAATCTGAGCTCGCCAGCTCGCCTGGGTAAACGCGCCCCACCCGACCGCCGATCCCTTCACACGTCACAGCTCCGCGACCAAAGCAGCGCTTCCAAAGCTCCCTTCCGAGCGCGCTCAGGCAGTAAGGCGCAGGCGCACGCCCTCGCGACAGTGCCGCACCTCGGGCATTCGCGCGGGGTCACGCGTGCGGACTGATCCGCTAGAGTCCGGCATGACGGGCTGGGGCGTCGCTGCTGCCTCCGCCTCGTTCCAGCGTCATGGAATGCCTGCGGAGCCTGCCCCGGTTCCTGCCGTGCGCGGTGGGGCTGCCCCGGCGCAGCCTGTGTGCTCTGGCCTGCGGCCTAACATGGCGCGCTGCTGGACTCCCTGGAAGGAGCCCGACCGCGCCTCTGTGCAGACCCCGCCCGCCCCGCCTAGCAGGTACTGCCCCCCGGCGCCGCAACCCTCCCCACCTCCCTTCGGCTCCGCGGGGCTGGGATGCCGACCCGCGATGACCTCGGGTCCCTGAATGTCTACCCAACCCGCGCAACTGAGGCCGCCCCGCGTCCTCAGCCTCCCGGTCTGCACCTGGGGTTTTGTCAGCCCAGCTGCACCGGCGAACTGACCCGTCCCCGTCCCGAGCGCGGCCATGCCTAGTCCCTGCAAGGGTCCTACCGCTAGGCGCTGCCATCCTCGCCACCCCTTGTGCATAACTCCCCGCCTAAGTGCTCTGGTGAGGTTTGTTTTTTAAAATCTATTTCACCCTTAGTCGTACTTAGTTCTGAAGTCAAGATTGTGTTCATCAACCTGAAACACCTACTAGTTTTTCTTCCTTGCCTTTTACCTCTTCCTTGTGGAAACAGTTGCTCAGGTAGGGGGTGGAAAGAAATGCAGCCCTTTCGAAGTGAGACTTCGTAGTGAGAGTTGCTCTGAGAAAGATGTGCGCTTAAACACATCTTCAGATTGAGGCAGGAAGGAAGGATCAAAATTATTTTTTCACCAAATGCTAAAGCATGAATGACGATACGTTAACATTTTCACACGTGAGTACGTGGATACTAATATTGCTGAGAAACCAAAGGCCTTAAAATGTATAGGCTTCTCAATGTTGTACTGAGCACAACCTCAAATAGTTGTGCTCTCAAAAGCCTCCCAAAGTGGGTTGGCCAGGTGCCTCAGTTGGTTAGAGCCACGTGCCCTGGACAACAAGGTTGCCTGTTCCAGTCCTACTTGGGCCAGTGAGCTGAGCCCTCCCCAACTAGATTGTTGACAACAACTTGAGCAGAGCTGCTGGTGGGCAGCCGGATGGCTCAGTTGATTACAGTGCATGTTCTTAACAAGGTTGCAGGTTCAATTCCCACATGGGATGGTGGGCTGTGCCCTCCCCCCACCTACCCTCCGCCCCCCCACACACACACACACACACAAAACGGCAACTTGACTTGGAGCTGATGGGACTTAGAAAAAACACACTGTTCTCCAATAAAGCATCTTTAAAAAAAGCCTCCCAAAGTAACCCACCATCTCCACCTTCATCCCCACACTCAGTGGAGAGCCTGAATTGGTTTCATCCCATAGTCCCTCCTCTGATAATGCTTGTGAACCCAGGTTCAGCCCATGTAATGTTTTAGGACAAATACGGAGATTCAAAATCTCCGTCCTGGTAATGCTTTATCTAACTTGTAACTGATTAGCAAATGCTGATTTATATCTCTGACATTTACGTTATATCTGTGACATTCAGCTGACCTTTATAATATAGTTTGTATTTTGTAAAAGGGAAACAACAAACCAGGTGCTAGCAAATTATACAAGTCATTAAATGTAAGTAATGAGAAGGAATAAGACCAGAAATGAGAATATATCTGCACATTATGTGGAGTCAGCAGGCCTACTTTAGAAGCATAAAATAATTGGTAATATTTTTACACCTTCTACCCATTCCTCTTATATTTAGTATTTTGAACAGTGTTTTTTGTCAGACATTAAATTTACTTGGTTATATTTCAGAGCTCACTTTCAACTCAGTCTAATCACGTTTTTCTTTTCTTTTCAAATAAAGATCTGTCTTCATTCTAGTTCAGTGGGGTCTGCATTCCAGTTCAGATGGTTATTTTATATTAACTATAAAGTGTATAGTGTATCTGTGGAAAAGAAGTTAATACAAAGAAGTAAAGTCTGTAGGTCAAGCAAATAATCCTGACACTGGAATGCTGAAAGGTCAGGTGGTACTTGGGGTCTATATTTTCTAAAATATATCTACCAACTTACATGCAGAGCCTTTTTAAGTCATGCAAAAAAAGAATGGACATTTTCTTTTAATCTCAGAATACTGTTGTACATTAGTTCATCCAACTCTGAGATACCAATAATGATTAGAAAGGAAAAAGGATGATTGGAATCCGTAAATTATTCTAATGCCTCACCTAAGCAATTACTTTTAAAAATTATTCCCTGCCAAACCTAACATAATCACCTACAAATATTTCCTCTAGGAAAAGCCTTCAAAAAATAGTAAAATAGTCTGAAGACCACATACTATGAGAGTTGTATCTTAGCTATATGTGCACAACCAATCGTATGATCACAGGGAATTCTCTAATTCATTCTTCAGGTGAAATGCACCGGTTTAGAACTTCTGATGCCTCTCAAGCCACATTAGCCAGTGTAGCCCCAGTGTTTACTGTGGTGAGTATGTATAGTATGTTTTATAACTTACAGAAAGTACTTCCTATACTTAACTAAGTTAACTGGGTTGGACTGGTTGGCCAAGATATTATTTATTTTTTGTTTTATAATGATTATACTTAAAAGTCATGTTGTCTTTGTGTTTTGCTTATTAGCCAGTGATATGAGTACCAGCTAGATTTGTTTAACAGCACGCTTGAAACTTTGCTAATGATTGTGCAGCTCTTCTGCCAGTGGGTAGCCAGATGGCAACTGGACTTGGAGCTGGGCTGCAGCTGCACCCTCCACAGCTAAGATTGAAGGACTACAGCTTGGTTGTTCCCCTTCCCCAAATCCCCAACACTGTTCCCCTTCCCCAATAAAAAAAAAAAAAAGAAAAAAATCAATTGATGGTGTTCGAAATAATGAGACTTTAGAAAGTGAGCTAATCAGCTCTCTTGGTAATGTGAGTTACATTGCTATGTAAACTTTTTTTTTTTTTAAATTGGGGAATTGGGGGAAGGGGAACAGACACGTTGCTGTCCTTTTGTTCTTCAGTCTAGCAGTGGAGGATGTTGCTTCACTGGCCCAAGTTGGCACCATCATTGCACTCTTCCCAGGCGAGGCACATCAGTCGCCGGCTTCTGGACAGCCGCTCACTGCGGCTGCTGGCCGCTTATGCTGGCTGCTGGCTACACACAGTAGCCCATGGCAACCCACTGCCACAGGGGCTGCAGCCTACGCCGTCGCTGGCGACTCATGGGCACCCCAGCTCCAGGTTGAGCTGTTGTTCAGCATCTTAGCTGTGGAGGGTAGTGTCACTGGCCCTCATGTGGGATCCGAATCGGGGCCCTCTGGCGTCCCAAGCCAGTTCTCAACCATCGTGCCACTCAGGCGGCCCGCTATGTAAACATTTTAAGAAAATATTGTATGATCTTTTTTTTAAGTAGAAAAAAATCCCATTAAAAATGACACAGATAAATATTGAGATACAAAAATATTCAGTATATATTAAGTTTAAAGTTGAGGCGAGACTGCAAAGAAGTCTGTGTAACATGAATACAAGGTCTGACAATTAAGTTCGCAAACTTGTTGCAACGATGTTGCTAACCTTTTTTTGACATCAGAGGGATTATTCATTATGAATTTGAACAAACTGGACAGTAACCAAGTTTACTATTTGGAAGTGCTGAAACGGCTGCGTGAAAAAATCAGATGGCCTGAACTTTTTACCAACAGCTCATCACGACAATGCACCAGCTCACACGGCACTGTCAGTGAGGAAGTTTTTAGCCAGTAAACAAAGAACTGTATTGGAACACCCTCCCTACTCACCTGATCTGGCCTCCAGTGACTTCTTTCTTTACCCAAAATAAAGGGAATATTGAAAGGAAGACATTTTGATGACATTCAGGACATCAAGGGTAATATGACAACAGCTCTGATGGCCATTCCAGATAGAGTTCCAAAATTGCTTTGAAGGGTGGACTAGGCACTGGCACCGGTGCATCACTTCCCAAGGGGAGTACTTCGAAGGTGACCGTAGTGATATTCAGCAGTGAGGTATGTAGCAATTTTTCTTGGATGAGTTCACGAACTTAATTGTCTGACCTGGTATATTTAATAGGAAAAAGTCTGGAAGGACATTCACTAAAATATTAGAAGGTCATTCAGTAAAGTATGTTTTTTTCTAAAATTTGTCATTTCAGGTGAATAATTTTACTTACCTTGATTTACAGATTTTCTGCAGCAGATGTTTCTGAAATTTAAGGAGGAAAGCTAGTCTTTATTACATAAAACATAAAGCTTCCTTTTATGTAAATTTCCCATTCATACTGATGTTTTGTGGTACTCATTATATAGTCATATTGATCTTTACTGATGAGAACCCAGCTATATATTGTGGGGCATTATTATGTTGTTATTAACACAGTATGCATATATTTCCATAGTAATAACCCAGGATTTGGATTGTACCTACAACCATAAGAATATATCTTTCTGAAAATGCATATTTAACAGTACAGCCCAGCACATAGTGATTCATTAACTATTATTTGACATCTTCAAACTTGACTGTGGGCAGTAATTACAGTACTTTGCTTTAGGAAATAAATGCATAATCTGCTTCGTGTCCTCTCTTCAAACTATCAAAAGATGCCTTTCTGTAAATCTTTATTGATTTGGCAGTGTCTACCAGAGAGACTTCACAGCCTCCAGGAGATACTTAGATGCACAAGAGAAGCCACAGTTGGTCCCAGTCTATTAAAAATGATAAAAGATAGGGATGCAGAAGGGCAGCATCAAGTGTTTCCTCTTTGAAAGAAGTCCTTGTAGCCATCCAGGGGCTACTCTGGCATCCTCTGTGACAGCTCAGGTACAAGGAGACTATTCTCAGATGGGTGTGAGGTCCACCTTGGCTTAGAATCCCCATGCCCTCTAGTGCCTGTATTTTGTAACCATTCCGGAGACACATCCAGGGCTCCCACCAGGAACATAGCCAGTTACAAGAGCCACCACTCAGAAAGGGTCCCATGGCTTCCCACCAGGTGTCTATAATTCATTCATCAGCCTCCCAATCCAGTGCAGTCTACCAGTCATTGGACATTTTTACCATAAGCAATGTTGCCTAGTAACACAACTGATGCTCTTATCACATTTCCAGAGGAACCAAGATAGTTAATCCAGGTCAGATTTGTCCTAGCAAAGAAAAAAAAGTATTTTTTAAACCTGTAACTCATAACTGAATTTAACCTAAGGGAGCGCAGTTAGGATTTATATCTGCATTTCAGTGTTTGGGAGATATCAGTACCATATGGTATAATACCATAAATAGCATACTAATTTGGGAGAAAATAATATTTTATTTTTATTATCTCTCTTCAGACAAAATTTGACAAAGAAGGAAATGTTACTTCTTTTGGTGAGTATCTTTAAATTTCTTCTAAATCACCTTTTTAAATCAGTGAATGAGTGAATTCTGATGGAAATCAAGAAATTGTCGTGTTTTGAGTAGAATATTCTTTGAATATATGGGTGTTTATATGAAGGAGATCTTCCTTCAGAATTTTTCCATCAGTCCTCATTGGACTGGCAATACCTGGACCGTGCATATAATCCTTTTTTTTTTTTTTTCCCCTGTCATGAGCTGCATTTTCTCTAACAGGATATAAAGGGATATTTTGGAGTGCAGGTGGAACATAGAGAAACACTCTTATCCCTTTTGTTTCTCTTTAGTCTCCCTCTCACTGCCGTAGTCCTCATATTCATCTTCTGTACCATATTTAAGGTGGAATCACATAACACCTGACGTTGCAGTGGCAGTGGGTGACAGAAGACAGGAGGGGGAAGGTTGGCCCTGGATGGCAGTCAGATGGAACTCTGCTGATGATTGCTTTTATGGACAGTTAACTTTTTAAAATGAAACTAAGTATTACTGTCCAGCCTCAGATACAGGTTTCAGATCTTCCCTTCACTTCCAATTTCATGATCCTGTTCCTGTTCTGAGATCGTAGTAGAGTATTTTGAGTGGGTTTTTTTGCTCAATATCTCCTTTAAAAGATTGTTCTACTTAGAGCTCTGTCACAGATGTGGCTTGATGCTACAAGTACAGATAACACTATAACCAGTATCAGTTTTTTGCTTTTTCTTAGGTAATAAATTTAGTTTTCAGGTTGGAGAATCTAGTGTGACAACTGACTTTATTTTCTCATTTTGTATTAGCCCAAGAAGAAAGAAAATTGAACTTTTCACAGATTTAAAATACTAAAGATGATAATGTAGTGAGAAAAAAAGAAAATGTGATTCTGTATAATTCATATTAAAAAAAGATGACCTGTCTAGAGTTAGAAAAGGATACTCTAAGTTCCAGTAATGTATAGCTATTGTTTTTATGTTGGTCCCAAGGGACTTGTAAGTACAGAGACAATTTATGAAGTATGGGTAAGAGGAGAAGAGCATAATTAGAGTTTGATTAGATTTAACCTGAGTATGTTTTTGAGGCAAAACTAGGTATTAAAAAGATTCATTTTAGCTTTTGTTTCTGGTAATAATTCAAAATTCTCTTGGGGTGGGAGGGTGCTCTGATATAAAAATCTAAACTCTTCAGTTGATTGGTTTAGCCCACTGTTTATTGAAAATATTTCTTTTATAGAAAGGAAGAAAACTGACTTATATCAAGAATTAGGTCTTCAAGCCAGAGATTTGAGGTTTCAGCATTTAATGAGCATCACCACCAGAAACAATAGGATTATCATGAGAATGGAGGTAAAGGATTTTATTGCATCTGCATTTCTCCGCTGCAATCTTATGAAAGTTAATTCCTAGCTGTCATGATCAATACCTGGGTTAAAAGTAATTTTGTAACAAAAAGCTATGTAAAACAGGATATTTTATAATGCAACAAGTTGTTAGGAGTAGGACTCATTTTATATGGATTACATACATATGTCCAGCAGGCATGACACTGCTCTAGTCTGTGCTGGAAAAGTTCTGACACGGTCTCCATTCTCACTGTTTACATTTAGTTTCTAGTTTCTGAAATGATAAGAGAAAGAAGCTTTATTTATAATAGACATTTTCAATTGTATACAATTATGTGTGATTATAGTATAATTTTATCTACCAAGAACATATTCTGGTTTTCCAGATAGTCCAGGAATATGCTTTAAAGTTTATAATCTTAATTTAAATTTTTATTTTTATGGAAAGCTTTTTAAAATACATTGTATCTGCCCCTGTCTACTCAAAGTACACCAAATATAATTTGACTTTCCCTAGTGATTCATAAGTTACTTTGTTGGGCTAAGGTTTAAGGTTCAGAAATAGATGAGGAGACACAGGTCTCAGTGGTATTGGCCCTGCATTGGACATGAGACTTGGCTTTCTTCAAAAAGTCTTTGATGGCTGGTTTTTGCCCATTTATCTAGAATTAACCAAAAATAAAATAAAAAAATGGAAGCGGTCTTCTCCCAGGTGATTTTCTCCAGGAAACATTCTTAACTTTTATTATCGGTAACTAGCACCCTTCAAAACAGTATTTCTTTGATGAACAGATAGAGAAATGTGTAATGAAGCAACTTGAGCAGAATTCTAGTTATATAAATAGTTTGTATATACCTGTTGTATATTTTTTTCAACATTTCTGGGTAAAAATTATAAAATGTTGGGGAAAATGTAAAAAAAAACACCTCTAGTTTTGTATCACTAATATAGAGTAGCCACAGGCTACTCTTCTGTTGCTCTTCTAATATCAAAGATGCCCTCTTGCTCTTTAGAATAAATTTCTTAATTTCAATGTTTTTTCTTTTTAATTTTATTAATTTTTCAATTACAGTTAACATACAATATTATATGAGTTTCAGGTGCACACCACAGCAATTAGACACTTATGTAACCCACACAGTGATCACCTTTGCTAGATCTAGCTCCTGTCTGACACCATACAATATAGCCATTACAGTATTATTGAGTATATTCCCTATGCTGTACTTTACATGCCCATGACTGTTTTTATAACTGGCAATTTATACTTCTTACTCCCTTCACCTTTTTCATCAACCCACCAACCTACCTCTCCCATCTGGCAACCATCAAACTGTTCTCTGTATCTATGGGTTTGTTTCTGTATTGTTTAGTGATTTATTTTTTTCTTTGTAGTCTCAGAGCTTCAAATACCTTCTTTTTATTTTATTTTTCAGTTACAGTTGATATTCAGTATTATATTAGTTTCAGGTATACAGCATAGTGGGTTGACATTTATACACATATAACTTACAAAGTGATCCCCCTGATAATCCTTGGAATCACTTGATAGTGTGCATAGTTATTACAGTATTACTGACTATATTCCCTATGCTTGTACTTTACATCCTTGTGACTATTTTGAAACTACCAATTTGTACTTCTTAATCTCTTCACCTTTTTCAACCAAACCCCTAAACCCTTCCCATATGGCAACCATCAAAATGTTCTCTGTATCTCTGAGTTTGTTATGTTTGTTTATTTTTTTCTATACATTCCACATATAAGTGAAATCATGGTATTTGCCTTTCTTAGTCTGACTTATTTCACTTAGCACAGTACCCTCTAGGTCCATCTATGTGTCACAGATGGCAAGATTTCATTCTTTTTTATGACTAAGTAGCATTCCATAATATATATGTACCACATCTTTATCCATTCGATGGGCACTTAGGTTGCTTTCATATCTTGGCATTGTAAATAATGCTGCAGTGAACATATGGGTACATTTACTCATATCTTTTCAAACTACCATTTTGGATTTTACCGAATAAAGTCTCAATAAATTTAAGAAGACTGAAATCATATCAAGCATCTTCTCTGATCACAATGGTATGAAACTAGAAATAGTTACAAGAAGAAAACCGAAAAATACACATGTGAAGGCTAAATAACATGCTACTAAAGAATGAATGAATTAATGATCTAGAAAGAAATCAAACTGCCATTTTGGATTTTACCAAATAAATAACCAGAAATGGAATTGCTGGGTCATACTGTAGTTCTATTTTTAATTTTTTGAGGAACATCCGTACTGTTTTCCATAGTGGCTGCACCAATTTACAATTCCAGCAACAGTGCACAAGAGTTCCCTTTTCTCCACATCCTTACCAAGACTTGTTTGTTGATTTATTAATGATATCCATTCTCATAGGTGTGCAGTGATATCTCATTGCAGTTTTAATGTGCATTTCTCTGATGATTGGTAATTTTAAACATCTTTTCATATGTCTGTTGGCCCTCTGTACGTCCTCTTTGGAGAAATATCTATTCAGATCCTCTGCTCTTTTTTTTTTTTAAGATTTTATTGGCGAATTGGGGGAGGGAACAGTGTTGGGGGATCGCAGAAGGGGAACAGACAAGCTGCTGTCCTTTTGTTCTTCAGTCTAGTTGTGGAGGATGTCACTTCACTGGCCCATGTTGGTGTTGTGATCATTGCGCTCTTCCCGGCTGAGGCAGATTGGTCACTGGCCACTCACGGTAGCTTACGACAGCCCACTGCAGACCGACTGCAGCCTACATCATCGCCAGTGACTCACGGCAGCCCAGTTCCAGGACGAGCTGTTGTTTACCATCTTAGCTGTAGAGGGCGCAGTGTCACTGGCCCGTGTGGGATCTGAACCGGCGGTCCTGCTGCTCAGAGCTCTCATTCACAAGCCAACTCTTAACCAACGAGCCACCTGGCTGTCCCCTCTGCCCATTTTTTAATTGGATGGTTCATTTTTTTTTTTGGTGTTAAGTTGTATGAGTTCCTTATATATTTTGGATGTTTTATTAACCCCTTGTCAGATGTGTCATTGGCAAATAACTTCTCCCATTCAGTAGGTTGTCTTTGTTTTGTTGATGGTTTCATTTGCTGTGCAAAAACTTTTTAATTTGATATAGTCTCATTTGTATATTTTTTCTTTTTGTTTCCCTTGCCCAAGGAAACATCCAAAAATATATTACTAAGAATGATATCAATACCTTACTGCCGATGGTTTCTTATAGTAGTTTTATGATTTTGGTTGTAACATTTAAATCTTTAATCCATTTTGAGTTGATTCTGTATATGGTGTAAAAAAGTGATCCAGTTTCATTCTTTTGCATGTATCTTTTCAGTTTTCCCAACCTCATTTATTAAATAGACTGGCTTTTCCCCATTGTATATTCTTGCCTCCTTTGTCATAGATTAATTGACCATATAGATGTGGGTTTATTTCTGGGNTGCCAATACCATGCCGTTTTGATTACTATAGTTTTGTAGTATAGTTTGATATCAGGTAACATGATACCTACAACTTTATTCGTCTTTTTCAAGATTGCTGTGTCTATGTGGGGTCTTTTGTAGTTCCATATGAAGTTTAGGATTATTTGTTCTAGTTCTGTGAAAAATGCCATTGGTATTTTGATATGGATTACAATGAATCTGTAGATTGCTTTGGATAGTATGGACTTTTTGTTTGTTTTTGTTTTTTGTTTTTATTTAACTGAGCCATCCTACCACCTGTTGGCAGCTCAGCAGCAGCTCAGCTCCAGCCAGGAATTGAACCAGTGACCCTGTTGCTTAGAGCTCGCACTCTTAAGCAAACTCTTAACCAACTGAGCCACTCGGCCAGCCCTAGTATGGACATTTTAACAATGTTAATTCTTCCTATCCATGAGCACAGTATATGCTTCCATTTATTAGTATCTTCAGCTTTCTTCAGTGTCTTACAATTTTCTGAGTACTGCTCTTTTACCTCCTTAGTTAACTTTATTCCTAGGTATTTTATTTCTTTTTTTGATGCAATTGTAAATGGGATTGTTTCCTGAATTTCTTTTTCTCATAGTTAATTATTGGCATTTAAAAATGCAACCGATACCTGAATATTAATTTTGCACCCTACTTTGCTGAATTAATTTATTACTTGTAATAGCTTTTAGGCGAACCTTTAGGGTTCTCTCTGTTTATAGTATTATGTCATCTGTAACTAATGACAGTTTTACTTCTTCCTTTCCAATTCGGATGCCTTTTATTTATTTATTTTTGTCTGATTGCTGTGTCGAGGACTTCCAATTCTATGTGGAATAAAAGTGGTAAAAGTGGACATCCTTGTCTTTTTCCTGATCTTAAAGCAAAAGCTTTTAGCTTTTCACCATTGAGTGTGTTAGATGTGGGTTTGTTATATATGGACTTCATTATGTTTAGGTATGTTCTGTATATTCCCACCTTAATGTAATGTATTGCTAAATTCAGTTTGCTAATATTTTGTTGTCATTTCCTTTTCATTTCTGATTTTATTCATTTGTGCCCTCTCTTTTTTTCTCGATGAGTCTGGCTAAAGGTTTATCAGTTTTGTTTACGTTTTCAAAGAACCAGCTCTTGGTTCCATTGATCTTTTGCATCATTATTTTTAGACTGTTTTGTTTATTTCCTCTTATCTTTATTACTCGTATTTCCTTCTACTCATTGGGCTTTTTTAATCTTTTTCTGGTTCCTTTAGGTTTAAAGTTAGATTGTTTATTTGAGATTTTTCTTGTTTCTTCAGGTAGCCCTGTATTGCTATGAACTTCCCTCTTACAATTGCTTTGGCTGTGCCCCATAGATTTTTGGGTCATTTCATTTTCATTTGGCTCAAGGTATCTTTTGATTTCTTCCTAGATCATTAACTCATTCATTCTTTAGTAGCATGTTATTTAGTCTTCACGTGTGTTTTTTAGTTTTCTTCTTGTAATTATTTCTAGTTTTATACAATTGTGATTAGAGAAGATGCTTGATATGA